GAGCTAATGTTTTCTTTTCTTTGAAGAAATGAAAATCTGGATATTATAAGCTGACTGGAAAACTGTGAGATGAAGGGACAGCCTTTATATTTTCTATATGTGAATTCCTGTGTGTTTGCTTTCTGTCAAACTCCTACTCTCAAAACCGTAAGTGTCTTGGCACAGGGAAATGTGTGCAGGTTTGCAAATGAATTAATCACCCTTATCTGTGCTACAGGTATCACCTTTTCTCAGTTGGTAATTAATTCCTCCATACAAGACCTATATTTTACCATTAATAGCACAAAAATGATATGCTGTAGAGCCTTCATCTAAGGGCAAAGGTAGCAGAAGGGAGAAAGTATTGACAACTTCACCTTTTCATGGAAGAGCAAAGTCAACAAGAGCCTGCTTCTATTTCTCAAAGGCTGTGAGTTTGTTAACTGTACCATTAGTTTTGAAGAACATAAATTTTAATAAAATTTATCCAGGTTATGTTATACCTTTATTAAAAATAGAAGTGTACCAGTTCATCATCATATACAGATACCCTTTGGATGTGTGCTGGCAGGACTCTATGGCTTGAGCACTCTTGAAGCTAACTTTGTTTTTGATTGCTTCACGAAGACATAGTAAAAGGCTAACTTAGTTTTTGTTCTGCTTACCAATGTGACATGAAGTTTACAAGTATTTATTTTAACTATTACTATGTCTTCGTGAAGACTTGTAAACTTCACGTCACATTGGTAAGCAGAACAAAAACTGAGTCATACTCATAAGTATGACTTCACATACTTTCAAACACAAATCTGTGGGTCAGCAGAGTGATCCTCATAATTATGACTTCATATACTTTCAAACACAAATCTGTGGGTCAGCAACTTCACAATACATTGCATGTTGTAAGAACATTATCCATCTCAGACATTGCCTTAAAACTGCTGGCTTGTGATGTTCCTACTGCTGGGGCCTGTGAATTCTAGGGGCATTTGTTCTGTTGAAGTCCCATTGCATACTGGTAACAGCACTGACACGTATGAAAGGAGGGGTCTCTCTTCTAAAATCTAACAGCCTACATGGCCCAAATGAGAATTGATGGATCATGTAGTTACTTTTTCCTTCTATCACACAGCCTATTTCACAATCCAGAATTTGTAGGAGAGGAAGCAGGGGAGAACCCCTGAAGTTTTCCATTGGAAATAAGTATGGCAGAAACAAATGCCAGGAAAACTGTGGAAACTAGTGAATTTGCTAGGCTTCTGCGGATACAAACAAGGGCAGAATTTTTTGTTTTTTCTTTAGTAATGGATCACATGTAGAATGCAAAAATCCTCTTTATGCTTAAGCAGTTTGAAAAGAGATGAATTACCCTTCAGTAATTGGTCTGTTGAAGAAAAAATGACAGCTAAAAATTCGACTTTCATTCCCCTACAGACGTTTTCAAAGACATTCTTCTTCCAGTATCATTACAGCAGAATGACGTTAGACTTAAGACAAACAGGTGTTTAACAGTTCAGATTATTGAAGGACTGCATGTTTATATGTGTAATGTGCTTTGCTGAACAATAAAATATGTGAAATGTATTTTTGCACATCAATCTGAAATTTTTGCTGTTGAGTACATCTGTGTTCAATTACTATATGGATTATATAATATCATTTAGCACATTTTAGCTAAGTTGTTGATAACTACTGATGGTAAAGCAGAATGGTTACAAAAGCAGCTATGCTAACACAGGAGATTAGCTTTCTATTTGTGCAGGAATTTTCAATACCAAGTAGATATTTTGCTTTTTCATTTCTCAATTAGCATAAGTTTGTGAGAACCAAACATGCCATGAATAAGTAACAAAAAATGTTTGTAGTTTCAATGTATATATATATATTAAAGTGCCAAGGAACATACCACTTTCTAGTGAGAGGAAAAAAATACTGTTGTGTATTTTATCAGAAGGAATTAGAAAAGATATTCTAAAATTGAAAATGCTAGAAATTGAAAAATTATGGAACAATTTACAAAAAAAAAAAAGGACAAAAATACTATATTGGCAAAAAGTCTAGCAGACCTTGCAAGTGTTTTTCTATTATTGTTTGTTCCTCTTAGTTTAGTTTATGGGAGTATAAAACTATCAGCAGCAATTTTCTGACCTGGAGGCCTACTGGCTTGAGGGGTAAGGAATTGTTATTTCCGGGTTACAGCTGTGCTGCTCTTCAGACATAATTAAGGGACAATTTGTAGATAGAGATAACTTTTTTTTTTTTTTATTGTACAAACAGGAAAATGTAGAAGAACTTCTGGGCATGCAATTCCTTCAAGTGTGAAATACAGGCAATAGACTTCTCTGACTTGAATTAGATATGAGCAACATAATCTGAGGCAAAATAAAGATAGGCAGTAATTGTGGGCTAAGGAGGATGCACATCTTTTGAAGTTGTCTTTGTAGATCAGGAGCAAGAAGTGAGAGGTGCAGTGATTGTTTTCTGAGAAATGTTAACCCTGCTGTCTCTTCCTGTCATTTAGTAAATGTTTATGAAAGTCCATTTTAGCGAGCAGTTTTATGTGTTTTCATGACAGCATTTAGTAGGTTGGTAGCACTTAGTCTACTAAGTAGACTTTCACAGAAGTTTATATTAGGATATGAAACAGTAGGAATGTAGTATTTGGATGGCTTTGTTGTGAAAAGTGTTTACTGTGTAGGGAATACTTACTGTGGAAATGAGAAATTACACCATTAATATTTGTTGTCAAATATCTAGCTCCACTTGCTCCATTTTTATTCCAAGTGTCTGAAAAGAGGTTCTTGAAAGATACTTTTCAGATAATGTCTTCCTGCATAGGGTGCAATTTGTAACAGATTCCCTGTAAATAAAAAAATCTCGCAGTATATTTTCACTGCAGAAAAGCCCTTTTTAGGTTAAGGAGATAAGACATGCAGATGTTTTTCCCAGAGCCGATAGGGTGGTGTCTGAATGTTGGAGAGTATTTTACTGCTTTTGGAGAGTATTTGAGATGGTTACCAGTTTTATGGAAGTAGCAACACTGATTTATGGTTATGCTGTGGATGTCAGTTTATAAGTTACTATTCTTGATCTCGATTATAGCACCTAGGACAATTACCTCAGTACAGAAGTGTTCCAGGGGCAGTCTGTTGCTGAGGCAATGCTTATTAAATATGTTGTGAAAGTCAGTGAGGGAATCCAGCTTTCTGGTACAGATGAAAGAGATGTCAGTTATTTTAGGCATAACGTAAATGGTATGTTCCTAGATCATCTGTGCTGAGATGATGTGTCTGTCCTTTATTCTGACATTCTTCCCTTACCTGATGCAGCTGATTGCTTGCCACACTAGAATAACTTTTTGACAATGTTTCTCAATAACAGTCATGAGTTCACTTTAGAAGGAGAAAAAAAATCTATTTTTATACGCTGACATCTGGACAGGAAATGAAACATACTTGAATAGTTTTCCTTGTTTGCTTATTAGCCTGCTTTTGCTTCTGATGAAGTTAGTAAGAGCAGGAACGGTTCTTACATCTCTTTAAGTTCAGTACTTGCTCAATATTCCATATCCTGCTCTAAGAAAATATTGGTACTATTGCATTTTTTTTTTTTTTTTTGCAGTAGACTTCCTGGAGTTTCTTGATGTAGTGCAGGTATAGGACAAACAGAGAAGTCATTAGATGCCTTATGGGAAATTTACAGTAAGTAGACTGTAAGAAAACATTGTAAAATATTCAAATCAGAGCTAGCTGGTTGCCAGGTGTTGTGCTGACTGCCTGCAGTAGGCTGAACTTCTCTCCTGGCTAAATGAACAAGCCCAATGCCCCAGGAGTGTTTCAGATGTTGAATTATGCTTATAGAAACTCATAGAACTTAATCTGCTTTTATATCATTTTATAAATGGCAGCGTAGAGTGATCACGAAAAAGCAGCAGAACAGTGCTATCTTTAGACACTGAAAGTAAAACAGATAAATTGTGTGGTAGTAGGAAAGTTAGTGTATTGGAGTGGTGGGATGTTTTATGTAGTCATTTCTGGATCACACGGTAATTTATAAGTTAGTGTGTTGATTCTAGAAATAATCACATTTTGGCTACTTATTACACTTTTGATGTTTCTTGCAACAGCATTAAAACAGACCTAAATATAAGTAAAGGAAACAGTTTATGCACATGCCTATGCCATATTGCATCATCTGTGGTGTGTAGTGCAACACTTCTAAATTTACAGATCACTGGGCCAAGGTAAGCAGTTCTCCTCTGCCTCTGAACAGCAGATGGAAAACACCCTTAATCTCTAATAATGGAAATATTAATAGAATGGGATGATAGCTCTATCACTAGCAGACTATGCAAAAGTGTTCTGTAAATCACAGAAATTAAACAAAAACCTTGGAGGATATTCTATTCTATGGTATAAATAAAGAAACAATATAGAGCTTAGATAAAGTGAAAATCGATTCAAAATTCATCCTTACATCCTACCCAAACTCTGTGCTGCATCTTACACATAATTGTAAACGCCTCAGACATCTGCAGTGCAGTATATTAACAAAACAGGTGGGCTTCAGTTTATGAGAAATAACATTAAAAAATTCAGTGCTTTAGGCAAGCACTGGACACTCCCCTATATCTTTTTCCCTGTGAGAGCTTTAGAAACATTGGTAAACTGGCTCTCATCCGTGTTTGTGATGTACTTATAAACATTTCCCATTTATAACTGTGAAAAACAGCATGATAAGCAAATGGAGCAAGTGAGCAGCAGAGATGGAAATTGAATATAGCCCTTGGACCCAGTAGCAGGATTATAGTCTAGCAGTGTTAAAGGAAAGCATTGTGAGACATTTCAGATTTGGGATGCACAGCTAAAAGCATTCATTACGGAGGAGGGGATTTGGATCTGGCAGCGTGCTGCAAGCAGTGCTTGAGGTTAGCACCTCTAGTCCTGGAGCAGTGCTGACAAATCACACAGATTTTTTTCTTACTTACAGGGAAGTTTTATGCAGTGAAGGGGAATGGGGCGATGCCCGACCCCATTGCTGCAAATCTACAGCACAGGAGCAGTTGCAGTGGCCTGGGCAATGCAGGTACCATAATAGTAATCTCTGGCTGAGTGAGGTTATCTCAGGGATATTGCAAACAGGATGGATTTTCTCCAGAGGATGAACTTCATAAAGGCTTCTCAGAAAATAATATTCCATACCATTCGAGAAAAATGAAAGTCTTTATTTTTTGGTCTTTTAAATACCGCGAAAATCTCTGCAGTGCCAGCACTATTGGTTGGAATGAGTCTGCTGGACAAGGAAATCACAGCAACGGTCTTTTGAGGTGACAGTCTCACTGCTTGGTCGTAACTCTTGCATCATGTTCAAAGCTCTTCCCAGCCTGCTGGAGCTGTGCTGTGTCGTGTTGCATCATGCCAGGCTGGGTCCCGTAATCCCCGAGGGCAGGAGAGAGGCAGCCTGCTGTGGACACACGCTGGAGAGGTGGGAGCACCCTCCAGACATTCAGTCCCTGAGCTGGGAAAAGTGTTGCTCCAGCACGCCCTTCATCTGCTATCTAGACACTCATAAAGCAGAAGGATATTTAATGAAAGGAGAATATATAATTTCCCTCCTTTCTGTGGTCCTAATTAGGAAATACTGTAAGTATCTGAAGATATTTATGGCCATAGAACTCAGCCTTCTACTCCTCTGGCTAGGGAAGGGGAGGTACCTGCAGAATTAGTCAGATTTTGCATTGATTGGATTTTACTGTTTCCAAATAACGCATGTTCACTTTACAAATAAATTTACCTTGGTTGCCCCACTTCTTCCCAGCTGTCAGTCCTTCTCATAATGCCCTTCTCATTTTGAATTAAGCTCTCCTGCATTATTAATTCAGCAGTTTGTAATTAAATGATTAGCTAATCAAATTGTTCCCTCCAGAGTATCTGTGTAAATGCATTGAAAACTGATTGATTTAACTGAGGTCATTCAGAGATAGTTTAGCCTTCAAACTCACCGTTATGAAGGATGAGAAACAAAGAGGAATAGATCTCAGGAGGAAAAAGCTCTCTGACCTGGGGGCAGGAGAACTGTGTCTTTTAACCTTGTACATGTTTTCTTGCAGTTCCTGTGGGAAAAAAAGAACAACAGAATTGTCCTGGAACTAGAGATCCAAAATTACATGGACTTTTGTGTTCGTATCACTTTACCTGCCAAAATTGCAGTTCAGCTTTTAAAATGCATCATTATAGTTAGTGGCTTTCTGCTTTGGTTTATGCTGACTGATCATATGGGAACAAAAGGAGAATTCCCTTAAGGGAATTAAAGGTGAGTAAGCACAGAAGGACGATACTATGGGGGTGGCATCACAGTATTATTATTGCTGATTTTGTCAGAGAAGTTAAGTTCTATGTACAACTTTCCCCACTGATTTGAGCAAAACTGCTTCTGCAGCATTTATGAAAAGATCAAATGCTCACAGCGTTGTAAAGGGGTGGGAGGAGATGACGTTAACTTTTTTTATTTCTCCCTCAGTTAGCTTTTGCAGCTGAATGAGTGTTTTCTTGGCTCCCTCAGCAGCATTTAGGTACTGGTCACTTCCAGAGGTGGTGGGGCAGCCTATACTGGTCTTCTAAAACAAGGCAGTTGGCTCCCTCTGCTGATTTGCAGCATGGTTTTAGTTGTTTTAAGCAACGAGCACTCTCCTTGTTTAGGTCCTGGAGGTTCTAGTATCATCGTGCCTACTGGTTTTAATGTGGTTTCTTTCCCTGCGAAGTAGTTATGAAGCTGTATGTTCCCCTTCAGCTTAAAATCTGTACAGACCTTTACAAAGATTAATATATGTATTTATAACAAGAATCGAACTGTAATGTGGCAGCTGAGTATAAGCATTTTAGGTAAGATTGCCATAAAACCATAATTACACCCATCTGTTTCCCTTAAGCATCCGGTAGAAAACAGAGTTTGTATATCTCTTGATAGCACTCTCTCAATCAGGTATTATGGGGAAAGAGGGAAATTAATTTCCCCCTTTATTTTATTTGGAGAAAAAGATAGTGCTTAAATTCAAATATACAAGAAAACCAAGCTGAAAGTGTTTGTCAAAGGAGTTTTATTTGTATACGGACAGCGTCAAAACAGCAGAGTTTCCCAAAAGTCTTTCTTAACCCTTATGCACCAATTATGGAAAAGACCGAAGAGCCAAATTTCTAATAAACTTTGGCCGTATAAATAGATATTAGCAGTAGACAAACACATACTATTTGTTAAAAATGCACATAGTTGCATCAAAGCTGTTCGATATAAAAAGAGCTTTGTAAATCCTGAATTCTGATGGAGAAGATATGCGAATAAGCCTGGCTGTGTGGTTATTTGACCCGATTCTCACCTGGGGTAAATTTGGAGAGGGCTGTGCGGTGTGTGCTGAGGGGTACACGGTACCAGTAGATGGTGCTCAAGGATCCCAATCACTAAAGAAATGGTAAAATTAATGTCGAAGGTACAGGCCAAGATTTTGCCGTTTTTGCGTGCTGCTGATATTTGCCCTTTGCTATGACATTTTTTTTGGTTTTCCACCTGAATGAACCTGCATGGAGAAATTAATACAAGTGGAGCACTTTACAAGATTTGAGATGTCAGGTTGTCTAAAAAAATTTAGATAAGCGTTTACTGCTGTGTGCCTCCGTCCAAATAATGCTTCCTGAATCCCACCCACTGACAGTGACACTGCAGCTCTTAATGTCACATTGTCACTGTCATGGCAATTAGTTAAAGGTACTGGCACTTGATAAGCTGATTATGCCCTGTACTGTGAAGGAGGTGAAAATTTCTGTGCATCTGTATTCGGGCTCTTACTAAAACCACGCTAATGTATGATAAAAGACATCACCTTATATCTCTGATAACTGTTTCCTCTGGTGTTGCTATTGATGGTGAGGGGGAAAGTGGGCACGTGTCTGATCGCCCTTTATCTACTATGTATTTAATGCCATATCTATCCTGACAAGAATAACTTTCTGCAGGCCCTAAGGAAAGAAGCAGGTATACGTATACGCATCACAAGATAAATATTTAGATAAATAGCAAGGATATCTAGAGCTTTCCCTGGACTTTCTGTTAGTACGCACTTACGCTGGGTTCTGTTCAAAGCACAGCTAAGTAGCACAGAGGAGTGAGGGACAAAGAAGTTCAGATGTCACATGTCAAGCATAATGTGACCTCGGGGGTTTCAACCTAGTCTCTAACAGGCATTTCTCACCCTTGAAAAAACATCTGGCTTTTGAAACAATGCCTCCTTTCAAGAACTTGGGCTTAATATTATGTCATGAAGGTCAAGATTGTCTTTTACTGACTGAGAGGAGCACAGCAGCTTTCACAGTGATTCCTTTCTTCATACGTGGCTCTTACTTGCACTTAACATTTTCAACTAGAAAATGAAATGTAGTATGAGAAAATATCATTTTCTGTGTGAGGCTTTGATGTGTTTTGTCTTCTAGCCTCCCTATTGTTGTTGCATTGTTGTAATACTGAATGCTTATTCTGTTATTAACTGATGGCCTTTGTTTGACAGGACTATTTACTTTTATGGGTCTTAAGTTTCCTGGCAAGGTACACAGACAGTTTCAACTTGAATCTTCCAGTGTCCACAGAGACAATTCAATGTGTCTTCTCCGTACAGGCTACCACTGGAATAAACAAACAATGGACCTGTACGAGACGGTACAAGCCAGGTCAGCTCAACCCAGACACAATGAAGGTAAATTACAGCACAGGCAGGCTGGGAGCAGCCACCAGAAGGGCTGGAAAAGGTTATATTAAAACATCTCAGATCTGAATAGCGGGATTACTTCTGGTTATAAAAAGAGTCGGCACATTGTATGTGTGCAATTACTTCAGAAGGGCAATCCTGCTCTAATTGACCCAAAAAGGCAGTTAGCCAGTCAGACAGCTGGCTGGGGACAATGGGGCAAAAAACCCCCTCAGAACAGCCCTGCATTAGATTAGATTAGATTAGATTAGATTAGATTAGATGTTTTTGTTATCACCCACCCACCTCTCACTTTTACCCCAGGTGACTGTTGGGTGGCTGTTTGAACTGGCTCTGGGCCTGCTTTCCTGGGTTGGTGGGGGAAATCTGCCAGAAATAATGCACTTGTTTGGCATGAATCTGCAATGTAGGTATCTCAGAGGAGTCGGAGTTGCTCTTGATTCACAAGCCACAGTGGCCAAACAAGCAGTTTTTCTTCTGTAGCTGGCATGTTATGTATGATCTCTTCTACTCGAAGTGGCCCTTCTCAGACGTACCCAAGTCACTCACTTGTCACCTCAGGCTCCACTTGCTGTGATGTATTTTTTTCTCAGACTGAAACTGAAGTAATCTGGAAAGGATGCCTGAAAGGATAAGAGAGAGACACAGCTTAAGTAAAAGGGCTCCCCACACACTCTTAGGGATAGCAATATTGAGAAGTGTAAATATGCTTTCTCTCCCTTCCTTCCTCCCTTTCACTTCTTTCTCTCTCTCTTCTTTCTCTCTCTCTTTCATGGCTTTTTGTCTGGAAGGTCTTGTTTTTTGTTAAATAAGCCTTTGAGAAATTTCTCTCAGCATTGGTGCTCCTGGTCACAGCTAGCAGCGTTAAGAATGGAACTGGAGGTGTTGTGCCCAAGTTAAAACAAGATTGTAACGGGATTCCGCCCCAAGGCTCACTCTGTGCATGGAAAACTTAACTCCTCTAAGGAAAGAAAATCACAAGTGTTCAAATTTTAGTGGGAATGCCATGACAGTCTACCCAAAACAGGGAGAACCCCAGTTTGTTCCTAAATTGTGACAGGAGTCAATTTCACTTGCTTTCAGGTTATTCCAGGGCTGACAAATACGTACCCATGTCTTTATATCTAGGAAATTCATAATCTTTATTCAAGGACAAATTGTGACAACTACACTACCACACAAGGAATGAATAGTAATTCACCTGTAGTAACTGATTCATCTACTACCTTAGTGCATGAAACCTCAGTTACTAAATGGGCAGATATCTGATATCTAATATTAGACTTTGCCAGTGTGGCCTGTCTATTCGAGCAATACTGGTTTCAAAGGCCATTTAATGTTTAATATGGTGATACCAAGAACTGTGGAGAATTTTTTTAAGCCCAGCTTTTTGAATTTTTCATCTTTAGGATGAATTCTTATTGAAGTAAACTGGGGGAGTTAATACTGGTTTTGAACAGGAGAAGTCAAATTCTTAAAAATGTACCAGAAGGTGAGACAAGGGAAAAAAACCCAGACGTCTTAAAGATCGTCACTGAGTCCATTAGGTTTGGCTTGTCCAAATTCTTAAAAATGTACCAGAAGTTGAGACAAGGGAAAAAAACCCCAGATGTCTTAAATATCGTCACTGAGTCCATTAGGTTTGGCTTGTATTCAGATACCTTTTGAGATCATACACTTGCTTAAGTCCAATAAGTTAATAATTTTCCTTTTTTGCCCTAGCTGCTCAGCTTTCTCTTTGCTTTGCCCCTTTATATTTTCCTGTGTGCAGCTGAGACAGT